ATGTGGACAAAATCCCCAGCAGTCAAGTACCTGAGATAAAAGTATGTTATCACTTCAGCACTGGACACTTGTATGTCATTGGCACACATGGCAATCTCTAATGAGTTCACAAAAGTATGAGGCTGACTCTAACCCTCAAATGCATTAAGGGGAACAAAGACTGTTTGGAAAACTAACCAAACAAAACCTAAAGCTTATCAGATGAATCAGCAATAGCTGTTGATACTACTGTCTCTGCATTGTCGCATAGCTTAAAAGAAGTCAAACATGGTACTTTGTCCATGTTTGCTTTCTTCAGACATATTATCAGGTCACAGTTTCAGAGTTCACTTGGATTACAAAGAGGTATTCTTTAAAAAGAAAGAATGGTTACAAAGAGGTATTCTTTAAAAAGAGTGGTTACAAAGAGGTATTCTTTAAAAAGAAAAGATGGAATGGGCAAGAAGTTGGATACTTCCGGGAGATTCAGATAGAACAGCAGGGATTTTGTGTATACTTAGCTATGTGTCCAAGATGCAGAAAAATTAGATTGTGGTCCAAATTTAGGTACAGTTTCTCAAGTTTACTGGAAAGGTAAGAGTGAGCTGGAACTTTTTTTGAGATGTTTCATTTAAATGTAAATAGCCTCAGTTATTTTTAACGTTTACTGTTGATCAAAAGAAGTTTAGTCTGACTCCATTAAAACAGTCAGTGGTACTTTATAATATAGGAAATCAAGTAGCATTCACAAGTACTTAATTACACGTACAGTTCCAAGGGGCAGAAATCCTAGTTAGTTTCTGCAGTTTGTTTGACACGCTACTTAGAAAAGGGGATCGTTCCTTTTTTCATGAGAGTTAAGGTGCAATACTTACATTGACCCATGGATAAGTCAACTCATGTTTTTTGGTCAATATTTGAACTAAAATTCCTAGACTTATGCATGAATACATATAGTAAATAAAAGTAAATATTTTCTTTTATTTTTTACTCAACATTTTCATGATGGACAGCTCTGTCATAAGATAGGTAAGGAGGAGGAAAATGATCTTTATATATAAGAAACTTTGGATTACCAATCTGGATTCATAGCTAGCAATATCTTTCAGATAGAAACTGCTCCCTTTTGCCCATAAAACTCACAATTTGGGGTAGATTTGAGAACTATCTCCTTATGTTCAATTTCCAGTATAAATATAACATAAAACATTCAGTAGAAAGAATTTGACCTGAGGACTGGTGATTGGATGCCTTCCACCTTTGGCTTGAAATAATGTTGGTAGTATGTCTAATAATTCTTGCAGAAAGGTTGGCTTCATCTAGCTAAATTAATTAAATACCCTCTAGAAAAAGAATGTCATTGCTAAACATATCCCACACACTCACACACATACATACAAGTAGAGAGCAAAAGCAGCCAGCTATCCATCCCCGGTAATTAGTAAATACACCATTTTATAACATCTGCTGTTGAGGACTAAACGGTGACCTTCTTCATAACAACCTTTGGGTTTAATCCCTTTTGAAAATAAATCTTATTATGGGTGAGTCAGCAAATGGCTGCACTGTGTTTGCTGTTTACAGTATGCATTTTCCAGGCAGTAAGCAAATATGGTTTATTTGGTTTTTAGTTCTTTCATATTGACAACCATTCCTGTATTGGGTTATTTTTATTAATCCTGTTAGCAGCAGTATGATCTGGGAGGAATGTAATAAAGAAACCATATTTTATCTGTTGCTTTCTATGAACTGGAAGAGAGTTTTTGAAACATTTATATTCTCCCTTCTCACCCCGAAGGGGACTCAGAGCGGAGCACAACATATATACTGCAAGCATTCCATGCCGGGACATAAAATAACCATAAATATACACAAACCTTAAAATCAGTTATATCTACTTTAAAATCAGTTGTTTAAAACCATCTCAAAACACCATGCTGGCTCTGGTCAGTGGAGTGGGTTTCCTATTATTGCCTTATTGCACTTGGTCCCACAGCCAGGTTTTAATCATCTTTCTGAAGAACAGGAGGGAGGTGTTGGTCCTTGAAATATAACAAGATAGTTTTTGCTGTGTGAATTATAGTAGGCACCACAAATGTAGAGAAGAGGTAGGTAGGAGAAGAGAATGCCTGTGCTTGATGACTCCTGGTTACATTCTTCAGGATCATTCATCATGACAATTGGTGTTCCTGCCACATGTTGTCATGCACTTGGCAAGGTGTCTCTTCTAAATAAAGTATGTATGAAAACTTCTCACGTTTGTGTGTAGTTGTGATTTAAGTTGAGAGGGGATTTTCAATGAATGATAACTATACATTTTGAGATTCTTGGAAATATATTTAGGTACAAAGAAAATCTGAAACATTGTGAAAAATCGTCAATAGAGTATACATTTTCACAATAGCATGCTTTAAAAAGAAAACGAAGGGGTGGTTTAATTAGAAATTTCATCCAAATGCTTTGTTCCATAGCCAAGTTTTGACTTTCTTTCTAAAAGACAGACAGGAGTAAGCCAATCTAATGTCACTGGGAAGGGAGTTCCACAGCTGAGGGGTCACCACTGAGAAGGCCTTTTCTCTCGTTCCCCCCAGCCACATCTGTGAAGGGGGTGGAACAGAGAGTGCAGGGCCTCCTCAGAAGATCTTAACATCTGGGTTGGTTCATAGGGAGAGATATGTTCAGACAGGTAAGCTGAGCCAAAACTATTTATAAAAGAGCTCTGTAAATTAGAGCAAGGGAAAAGCAGGAAATTCCACTCCTCTGCCTAAATGCAAAATAGGGTATATAAAATCCAGATATTATCATAATGCAACAAGCCCACTTTCAGGAAAAATTCAGTTGTTCCTAATGTAACAAAATGATATTAAGACGGTGTGGCAGAAGTTTGTGAAAAGTATGCATTGTCATGGTGTAGCATTTGACATAATAGTGCCCTTGAATTCCTTCTGCGAGATAACATGATGAATGTTAAGGACAAACAAGAACAAGCACTTCACACAACATATAATTAATTTGCAGAATTTGCTGTCACAGTCTGGATGTTGATATGGCTACTGGCTTAGGTGGTTTTAAAAGAGGATTAGCCAAATCCAAGGAGAATAGGTCTGTTAGGGTCAAACCGGACTTGACATTTGTCACGTAGTTTGCCCATGTGTTAATGTTTTGGGTTTTTTTAAAAAAAAACTGGTGTCAGAGGGGACAAAACTAGCATTAGAAAAGCAGGGCTTTAACAATTTGACTTGTCATCTTTCAGATATTCCTTGTTTCCTGTATTTTGCAATCTCATTTGGTACCAAGAGTCTGAACAGTTTCTTTTGGGCGAAACATGTGTATGATTGGATTAGGATTAGGATCAAGGCAGTGTTAGGGACAACAACTGAAAGACCCCTACCATGTCATTTTTTTTCACTTGGGCTTTATATCCATGCTGGTTAATTATTCAAACTTGGGAAACCTCCTGGACTGCATCTGCTAGGCACTACTGGGAAACTGTGGAAGTTTAGGGGTACTTTATTCCCCCAGGAGACTAAAGGGTAACATTCTCTGCCTCAATGCACCCCTCCTACAAGCCCCCCCCCCCCCCACATACACACACATTCTCACCTTTGAATGCCCACAGACAAATTCTAAGGGACATTAGGGTATATTCAACATGTAATTGAACTTTCCTGAGCTGTTTTAGGCCTTTTTAAAGCAACAGAACCTGTTTACTTTCAATTTTTTTCAAAGCCACATGGTTCTAAATTAACTGCAGGGGAAGGGGTAAAATATGATGGGAAAGCTCTTCACATTCCCAGGGGGCATTTGGGTAAAAAAAAATATAAATAACACAAGACTGCTTTCAGTAGTTGCTTGTGGGACTCATGCCATAGTGTGTGGAAACAGGAGGATTTCAAAGATGGGCAGAAATCGATTCCACTTCTTTCCTGCACATAAAAATGTTTTAAAATGGATATTTTTCCATGTGATGGGAAGTGGTGGATTTGTCCGATTACTTGGTGACATTTCAGTGTGGGCGGTCTGTTAATGCTCCTTCTGTTTCCATTAGTGGGTTAAAGATGATATGGGTCCCATTGAAAGAAGATTTTTCAAATGTTTATCTGTCTCCTTTAGTGTAGGAGTTTAAGAGGAATGATCCATTGGAAAGTGGTGTTTCAAAAAGGAAAAAGTGCCTTCCATAGTTGCTCACTCCAGGTACAGGCCCATTTTTCATGCTGAGTTTTGTGCACCTACAGTGAAATGGTCATAGCAGTATGAACAGAAATGGAAAGGAAGTATCAAAAGTAAATGTTTTGAATACTAAGACTCCTAGGTTTGTTCACCTTGAGATGGGACTGTGGTGGCTTCATATCTGAATCCATGGGTTGTTGTTATCAGTCAATGAAGACAATTCTAGGATAAATGAACCCAGAATTTTACCTGGTGTCAGACACACTCCTTTAAAAAACAATTGAAATGGAAATAGTGGCATAAAATCTTCTATTTTTCCTGCAGATTAAGACTATAAAATAAATGTAAGGTATTTTTTTCCAATTTAGTTTAAGTTCCGGCTGAAGCCCCATGTGTACTGTGTGTCCACCTGAGAATATGCTTACAAATCCTCCACATATGCTGACATTCTCCGGCAAATCTAGAGGTTTTTTGGCTGACAAGTATGTTTCCCAAAACATACATGAAAGGAAAAAGCAAATCTGTTGGTCCACCAAAGGGAAAAAACATCTAAAAACTTACAGTTGGCTTTACTACTATCAAGACCAACCAAACTATTACAAAATATGATGTTAGAAAAACAGGACATACAGCAATGTTTAAAAACATAGTGTGCAACCAACAGTGCTTTGCAGCTTATCACTCAGAACCTTAAGTATTGCAGAGGAACTGGCTATTATCTTTTCACTCACTTTGAAAATAAATTACCTTTCTTTTCTTCTTTTACAATGTGAACAATTCATTCTGTGTGGCTCATCAACTGATTTCTTTAAGAAACCCACATTGAAATGTCTACTTTTCCCCTCTTCTAGTACAAACAAGTGGAACAGTACATGTCGTTCCATAAGCTACCTGCTGATATGCGTCAGAAGATCCATGATTATTATGAGCATCGTTACCAAGGCAAGATCTTCGATGAGGACAGCATTTTGAATGAGCTTAATGACCCTCTTAGGGAGGTAAGAATCTCAGTCCTGTTCCATAATGGTCTGTGTATGGGGGAGATTTTATTTTCCGTCTTAGTTTGGAGAAAAAATCAAAAGTATATAAACTCTACCTCCCCCCAAGATGGGGTTCAGCAAGTCTCTGAAGCTATTTCTACTTTTGACTAAAGAGGATTTCCTCCATGCATTTATTGATAACTAATAGATTAAACACAAAAAGGCAATATAACATGGCAGCTGGTTTTTACCATCAAGATGTAAATACTACTACTAATGAAGTGCTACTACAAGGTTATAGAAACATAAAACAGCAGGCTTCCAAATTGAGTTCCAAACTGTTATAAAGGTAAGAGGCACTAAATTTGGTTCTCTGGGTCAAATCCATTAGGTTTGTCAAAGCTAATTTCCCCACATACCACAACTGTGTTGTTATCAGTGGAATAGCTCCATCAGGCTCAGAGACCCAGTAAAACCACTCCCTATCTTTTCTCCCAGGTCATTGCAGGCTAGCAAACCTTGGATATGAAAGATCCACTCCTTCATTCCTTTTTAGTTCCATTAGGATTGCTGTGCAAATGTCTAAGTCCCCATCTACACTGCCATATAATCTAGTTTCTGATCCCAGGTTATCTGATTTGAACTGAATTAAATGGCAGTGTAGACTCATATAATCCAGTTCAAAGCAGATAATTTGGGATCAGATATTTGATTATATAGCAGTGTAGATCCAGCCTAAGGTATTGGAGGAGACACAGTATCACTTTGTGTCTTAAATCCTGTTGTTAGTTTTGATTATAGTATATCCTTAAAGTCAATTGGGTTTACCTGGTTGCTGACTCACTATTTGTCTATTAACTCAGGGTGGTTCCAGACAGGCAAAAGATGCCATAGGAAAGGGGATTTTAAATCTCAGTTCCTCTTGGGATGGAGGCCACATCACTGGCCAAAACCCCAGGTTTTTGCAGGGGGAGGGTATCCAGATACTCACCCCTGCTGATCTGAGATAAAAAGGGATGGGGATCATGGGCACTGCCAGCCTCCCCTACCCGTCCCCCATTTTCCCCTGCACTTACTGGGAGAAGACTCCGACAAAGCCTGAAACCTTTCTATCTTGCTCCTCCTCCCTTGGAAGAGCCAAATAAGGGCTTTGGGTAGGGGAAGGGGAAGGGGAAGAGAAGCAAAAGCTTCAAGTGAAGACTTCTGGTGAAGACTCTGGTAAGTTGAAGGGGGGAAAGGAACCAGAGAGGGAGTCTAGAATCCAATTAGTATATTTTAAAAATGAGAACTGGGATGATTCAGAAAATAATAGTCCTGTCAGTTCAATTTTCCACTATGTTAACCTGATAGAAAGCACAATTAAAGCTAAACTTATTAACACAGAATGACAAGTGTTGCCGAAAAAGAAAAAGTATGCCTTCCACAAAGTGTTCCCTTCCCAATAGGTTTTAGAGTTATCTTACCTGTAGACTCTGAAGTCACGATTTACAGAAAATCTAGGTTATTGAACTCACCCAGAAGTTGATTACTTTGAACAAACACAAGTTTTTTGCAACTTATCAACCAAATGGTGATAGAAAGTAATTCTCTTTTTTGTCTACCAGCATAAATTTTCTATTAGCATTATAGAAATGTCACACTAATTAATTTTAAGGCCTAAGATAGAATGAAGAAATGTGAATTTTCCATGTCTGCAAGTCTTTTAATTCCACATTACTTAACCTTTTCAAACTAAGGCTTAAATGTCTTGGGTAGCATACTTTCTTTCTCCTGTGTATTGCACATGACCATTCATTTTTTTAATAAAAAAACCCAACTAATATACCAGTGATCATTACAAAATAAAATATTTTAAAATAAATCCAAGAATATCAAATATTTGGCACAAAAATATTGAAATTACTGTGCAGCATTTGTTACTTAAGGCCACTGCTGAAAAAACTTTTAGTTGTTAATATCAGTTAAAGTGGGGGATCTCATCAAAAAATTCATTCAGTCAGAGGACACAGTCAGCTCTTATGGCAGTGTGTGTGTTTTTACCACTAGGGAGATATTGTTTTATTTTACTGTGGAAAATGTAAAAACTATCAGAGATCTCCGCTTCCTTAACAGAGTCCTGGAAGCTTTCCCTGCTTACACCAGCTAGAGTTCAGGCTCCCCTCCTCATAGTTGTGGCAGGAACACAAGACACCAGACTCCAGATGCTTTATATCTTCAGTCTCTCTCTCTCTCTCTCTCTCTCTCTCTATATATATATATATATATGCAGCAACTCTCTACAAACTCCAACCACAATTCACCATAACCAAACTCCACGCGCCAACCAAACTCTACAACCACTCCTCCTTAAAGCACATGGGAGGTACTTCCCTTTTAAACCCACTCCTATTGCACCAGCAACCATCCTAATACCATAGGTTCCCAAGTGATTAAGCTTATTTCCATGTGGCTAGACCTTACTTTCTGCTTCTATTTGCCATCCAAGATTCCACTGTATATGCAAACTCTGACAAATACCAACTCAATAAATAAGTTGCTACCTTGTGTTTTGTGCAAAGATAATACAGGAAACAAATAAATCAATCACTTTGTTTCAGATGGGATCATTTTCTAGAACCACCATAATCTCTGGCTGGTGGAGTGGCTGTTGTTATAAAGTAGCAGTTCTTAAAGTGTGCTCCGTGGAGCCCTTGGGGTTTTGGGAAGAATACGGAGGAGTTCCATGCTACCTTCCACCTCCCTTACCACCAAAAGCCTCCCCCCCCCCACCTCCCATGTCATCATAAGCCTTTTTTCCTCATCTTCCTTGTCATGCAGATCCTTTCCCCCTTGCTTTCCTTGTTTCCAAAACCCTATTTCCCTCCCACCACTCGGGGTGTTTTGATTGTGCTTCTCCTGCACGCCAGAAGAGAGTTGAACTGGATGACCCCTGGTGGATTACTAGGAACAGTGAAGACATGGGCACAAAAGGGGGGTGGCACAAGTTTCAATCCATTTGCCCAGACTGTCCCAAAGTCTTGGGATATTCTAGAGTTTCCAACTAACTCCAGAATAATCCATGGCTTTGCCTGAAGCAGGGCAAATTCAGAAGAAAGGAAGGAAGGAAGGAAGGAAGGAAGGAAGGAAGGAAGGAAGGAAGGAAGGAAGGAAGGAAGGAAGGAAGGAAGGAAGGAAGGAAGGCAAACAGGCAGGCAGGCAGAAAACAACAATGTTCCCCAGAAGCTGCTGTGTGTCCTGAAGACAGCATCAGTCCAATTGGGGTGATTCGGGACTCATATAAACAAGCCCTAAACTAAAAGCAAACTGCTGCAGCTTTTCATAACTTATGTGTATTTTCCTTAGTAATAACTTTTTTCCACCTTGACTATTCTCTGAGGTTGCTTGGCCACTCATGTCCCTATTTCCTTCTGTGAAATGTTGGAAGCTATTTAGGCATTAGATATGCATGCCAAAAGCAAAAGATCCCTTTGCTCCAAGAAAAGAGTCTGCCCTGTGCTGATAATACAGCCAGGATTGTTATGAAATGTTTATTTTAAAATGTGCAGCAAATGCTCTTTTTCACTTTCACCTTGAATACACCCAACTATGAGTATTGACTGAATTTTGGCTCTCGATTACAGTTTTCTTTATGAAATCCAAAGTGGCACAATTTTTACCTGTTCATTTGAGAAAAAGCATAGGAAAATATATTATCCAAGATCCTAGGTAAACACTACGTCTGGTTTAAAAGTGCTGCATTATAGCCAACATGTTCAAAAGCTTGAGTATTTATGAAATTGCAGGAATTTTAACCTCCAGCAAAGGATCACCGCCTTGTCGGGGCGCTGGAGCTTGAGCACCTCAATGATGTCATGAGCGAAACCGTGAAGGGCCACCCAAGACGGGACGGTTGTGGCAGAGAGGTCAGACCAAGCGTGATCCCTGGGGAAGGCAATGGCAAACCACTCCAGTATCCTTGCCAAGAAAACTAAATGGACCAGTGCAACCAGAGATATGTCGGTATGCCATTGGAAGATGGGACTCCCAGGTCGGAAGATGGCCAAAATGCTACTGGGGAGGAGCAGAGGATAAGTTCAACTAGCCCCAGATGTGATGACGCAGCTAGCTCAAAGCCGAAAGGGAGGCTAGCGGCCGACGGTACTGGAGGTGAACGACGAATCCGATGCTCTAAAGATCAACACACCATAGGAACCTGGAATGTAAGATCTATGAGCCAGGGCAAATTGGATGTTGTTATTGATGAGATGTCAAGAATAAAGATAGACATTTTGGGAGTCAGCGAACTGAAATGGACTGGAATGGGCCACTTCACATCAGATGACCACCAGATCTACTACTGCGGACAAGAGGAACATCGAAGAAATGGAGTAGCCTTCATAATTAATAAGAAATTCGCTAAAGCGGCGCTTGGATACAACCCAAAAAATGACAGAATGATCTCAATTCGAGTGCAAGGAAAGCCTTTCAACATTACAGTGATCCAAATATACGCCCCAACCACAGCTGCTGAAGAAGCAGAAGTAGATCAGTTCTATGAGGATCTGCAGGACCTACTGGATAATACACCAAAAAGAGACATTATTTTCATTACAGGAGACTGGAATGCCAAGGTGGGAAGTCAAATGACAACAGGGAACACAGGCAAGCATGGTCTGGGAGAACAAAATGAAGCGGGACGCAGGCTGATAGAATTTTGCCAGGAAAACTCGCTGTGTATAACGAATACTCTCTTCCAACAACCTAAAAGACGGCTTTATACATGGACTTCACCAGATGGTCAACACCGAAATCAGATTGACTACATCCTTTGCAGCCAAAGATGGCGGACATCCATCCAGTCGGTGAAAACAAGACCTGGGGCTGACTGTAGCTCAGATCACGAACTTCTTATTGCTCAATTTAGAATAAAACTAAAGAGATCAGGGAAAATACACAGACCAGTTAGATATGATCTCACTAACATTCCTAGCGAATATACAGTGGAAGTGAAGAACAGATTTGAAGGACTAGATTTAGTA